AGCGAAGATCATGGACTAACAAAGGGGATTTTGATGTTTTAAGCAATATTCGTGCAGACAAGGTTCGTTTTAATGTCTTCGCAATGTTTAAGAGTCAATCTCTCAAAGCTGTTGCACTGATGACAAGCTCTGATGTTTTCTACACTTGCCGTTTCGGCCATTCGCGCAACCAACCGATCTGATCCCCAGCGTAGAATCACAAACCAGCTCCGGGATCTCCACGTTGAATGTCCACGACTAATGAAACGAAAAACGAAAGCCAGCCACATCGATGGTCACTGTTTTGCACTAAAATGTGAAATAATTAAAAAATTTCCAATAATAACGAAAAGAGCACACACCTCTTACTTTAATTTTTAATCTGCCACTTTTTATGATGGCAAAGTACATCCATCGCTCATTATAATTAATTTTCGCCCCAGAGAGCTTTTTGAGTTGAAGAGTTGAACGGAGAGCACATAGAAAACAATGTTTCGCAATACATTTCGTTCACCTTATTCTCATATCCAAACTTCAGAAATTTTAACTGAAATTAGATATTAATGTTCACAGTGCTTGGATGCACTGATATCAACATATTGGATTCGAGTTTGTCAAAATGGTTGTATTTAATTTTCATATTAATTTCAATCCAACGTTACAGTTCTATTCAATTCAGTACAGGTTTAAGCCAAGAAACATAAAAATTAACATTCTATAGCCGTTTCGTGATTCATACTTCCGTTATCTAACTCCTATTGTTTTCAATATGTCAACGGCCGATTTGGAATGAATCAGTTAGTTGTAAACGTCTGATTAATTTTGTTACTCAGTCAGCAATTACTTTATCAGTAATTACAGGTGATATTAGTGATAACAGGCAGGCATAAACACGTAATGAGTTGTAATTGTTAATTCCGTAAATAAACGAGTCGATGTTAATAAATCAATATTTTAGTTGTGTTGAAACTTCCTATAAATGCTATTGATGGTGTGGTACTTTGATGAAAGTCATCTTGTTCTCAGTCTTCGAAAAGTTACAGGTCACAGTCAAAACGCTGCGATTATCGAGTCGTCCACCACTACTATACATTTATAAATGTTTCTAAGATGCTGACGAAATCAACAAGAATTTTGAGCGCTGTGCTTGAGTAATACACCACCATTTATTCCATTGCAAAAGATCTGATTATGTTGAAACATTGTGAATATGAAAGATGTGCAGAAATTGAGATGACACGATATATTTTGTGGACACGGAGATTGTTCCCTTGTTAGAGACCTTAGACTTTGCGTTCCGTTTGCGCAATGGTGTAAGAAAACGAAAAGAGTGCCGAGCAATATCTGAAACGTAAAACCTTTAGTAAGCATCATCAACAAAAACAGTATCCATGTGAATCGAAAAAGTAGGGAAATATCAGGAGAACTCTGATCATAACAAGCAATTTGTTTATTATCTGCTGAACAACGACCAAACGAACCACGTCGATCGCCGAAAATTTGAGGAAGTGGTGAAGAAGTTGGCAAAAGAGTAAATTTGAGGTTGTCAATGCATTTTGCTTTCTAACAATAAGAAAGGGATGATCTCCACTCATGCAGTAACGTGCGTGATTGACTTATAGAATAAGATAAATGAAGGATTTGTGTTTGATGACAATTACTCTATTGAAGTGGTGTGTTATTGCATCAATTGCCGTTTTTTTTTTCGTTGTAAAAGCCTATTCAGCCATTGATCGTAGCCCCACTGAATAGGTTCGTGCACAACGTTGATGAATATAAAGAACAAGACATTGTCATGCACACTCCACGAATGTTTTTCACCTCAGAAATGAGTTGAAATATATGCACGTATATTCATAATGCGACTAAACGAGACGGCTCTAAATTGTGTTCATAAAAGAACGCGAATGAAACACTTCAACGCAATAAGCAATTCCGTTCGGTGATCATTTGCGGTGAATGGTGATTCTTTTGGGCTTTGTTTGACGCATATTTCATGAAAGTGACACTTATATGACATATTCTGAGCAGTACGATCCTCAGCAAAATTGCCATTCTCGAATAAGCAGCAATCAGCAACGGAACATCTCATCTTTTGATATTCTATTTATCCTCTTTTCTATCCATGCACGTTTCCATTGAAAACATTGAATTATTTGTCTCATTTCGTTTTTCCTTTTGCTTCTTCTATTCGCTTCAGTCTTTTGCATCAATTCAAATGTCAACTTTCGGAGGTTAACAGTTTCCCGCATATACATTTTTAGCTGAAGCCAGTGTAAATTCATCTCTTTTGAAATTCATTTCCACCACTCTCCTTTTCTCATTTGAAGTTCTCGTCGATCACCTTATTCATATTGCACGAAATAGATTTTGATCCACTTGATCTAAATCAGTTGGCATTCGATTCTTCGATATTTCTTAGGAGGTTTTGAAGAATTTGCTTCAGAGAGATCGTTAGAAACTAGGAACTATTGGAGGATGTTCTGGAATTTGTATGATTCCGATGTGTGCAGATAGCAGTGGAATTGAAAATAACCATTTTGAGTGCCAATTCAGACGAGTAACGAATTCAGTGAGTGATATTCGAATGGAAGTTAAATGCCATCATCGAGACGTAATGATCACATTCGCAGATATGTGATAGATATATATGCTATAATGTTAAACCGCGAACAATCAGAAACATAACGTTGATACTGAAGCAATAAAATTTGAATTGAATCCTACTCGGTACATAAAAATAATGGCCAGCAGCCTTTTCACTCATATGAATATATCCAATGAGAATCATTCTAGCTCGTCTAGTTCAGTTTTCCTTGTAATTCCTCTTCTTCATTTGTGACATTCAAATAACTCACGGAGTATTCCATTATTTTGAAGATATCGAAATAGATTTTGAGCACTTCTGTCGATCCAGCTAACTGCTTCGCTTTTCTGCAAAGAAGTTGACTGACTGTAAAAACCGAATCCATTGCTTCGATCATTGTCCGTTAGAAGAGCACGAAACTTGCTGTTGTTATGGAATTTCAATAAGCAGAATTAAGTTTTGCAGAGAACCATTCATCTCTGTCGTTTTCGCATTCAACACCAGTTCTGTCGTTTTCGCATTATCACAAACAATATTTTGCTGTCCCATAGTGCTTTCACGCTGTGCCACGTTACTTACCATATCAGGTCTGAATAAAGATATGTGTTTTCGCACGGTACTCTTAACGAAAACAATATGAGTTCACTTGACCTGTTGTCATTGAAGCGTGAGAATTGTGAGCCTCGACTCGTTACTTTCATTTAAACGATTGCTTTTTAAGATTCTTGTTCTTCCGCGGTGATAGTTTTCATAGCACAGCGCTATGTGTACGTAATTCGATAATGAGCAGAAGCAGATCGCGTTCCATACTCTCGTCCTCCACGCTTGAGCTGATAAGCCGATAGTAGGATGTTGTTATCGTCGTATCTTGCGTTCTATTTAGGTTTCTCATTTGGATTATTTATCCTCTGAAAGCGATTGATCACATAATCTTAATCGAACTAATTTGCTGCTGCTGCAAANAAGAATTCCTTTCAAGCTTCTTATCATTCAGTTCACTTCAGAACAACAAACACGAAGCTTTGCATTCAGATCTGCATTAGAAATCCAGTAATCGATGATGCTACTTGCAGGAAACTGCGATCATTTCAATCTTTATCGCTGAATTCATCATCAACTTGTATCGCGATGTGGTTTTGTTTCTATTCAATATTTTCCATCTTTTGCATTGAATCTATTTTTTTCTTATTGAATAGAACCCGTTGAGGCTCAGGTGAGACTCAACCCCATGCTCAATTTGAGATTCACGCAAGGCTCACGATCAGATTCTTCCGGGGCTTAGGCTGAGGTTTACCAAGAGCATGAACTGAGCCTGACAACGGAGCCTAAATTGGGATTTCTACCCGGACATACGCTGGGGCATACTACAGGTCATAAATTATAATCCTACCCTGATTATTTAATTATTAATCCTCTGAAAGCAATAACGGAAGAAGGGGGCGGGGGTGTAATGGAGCTCAGGCTGAGGTTCACATCGGGCTGGGGCCAAGGATTACTCCAGTCTCAGACTGAGGATTGCCATGGTGCCTTGACTGAGGCTCACCCCGGAGCATAGGCCACTAGCTATCGTTCGCTCAGGCTGAATCTGAGCCCAGCGCAGGGATTCATAAAAGTTTATGGTGAGGCATACACCAGAATGTTTCCCCTTTTTTTCTTCTCGTTTCGGATTGTAATTTTGAATTTTGAAAAGGATTCCGCCAAACTTTCACTTTGAACACGAATTTGCATACTCTTCGAGCGAATTTAACGAAATTTCGAGTATTACAGTTCGAAACAATCTAAAATTGAGAAGAGGAAAAAATTCAATTTAATTGTGACTTCGAATTGATCCAAATTTCGAAATAATTCAAAACATTCTCGACAGGCTTGACGAGGATTCAAGGTGCAAGGTGATAGACTATTGGAACGGCAAAACCATTGAATTGCAATCAAATTGCGCTAGCCCATGACTCAAGCAATTGTGCTCGTTCGCAATCTTCCAAAATCGCGATGATTTGTTTTCTTATGTCAAGACGGAATTCCTGTCATTTGTCTCCAGAAAATTATGAAATATGAGCGTTGTGCCCGATGTTGATGGTGACTGAACAAAAAAGTGGTTCATCCGGAATTCAACCGAACCGATCTCGGAAATTCCAGACAGGTTTTTCCGAGTAGAAATCGAATTTTTCTTCTGAACACCTCAAAATTCACTTCTATCATTGCCCAAATCCATTAGATCGAACAGTTTCCAAATTCCTCATTTACAGCTCATTGTCAGTGAATTCTACTTTCGCATTTGTAAATTCTGGTAGTTACCGAGAAATCAAGAGTCCATTCGGCCACCATCGGCATCAAATCGTGATTGTTAAAAGCATTTTGATTACTCTTGTTCGCCGTCGTTTGATATTGCAATCAAGTCGCGATTTATTTGACAATTTAACGGCGGTAATGCGCAATGATAAAAGTTAGCCTACTTGGAGGGATTTACATAGTGGTGGTCGATGCAGATCATTACGTTGGTCAGTTAATTTTTAATATGTTTCTACGTGGGTATTCGATAACACTCAAATCTAGACGTTCTCCACTAGCCAACACTGCGGCTGGCCGAAGAAGCGATGAGAGTTCGACTGCTTTTGGGATTCCGTTTAATGCCACAAGTGGGATTTTCTTTCAAAACTTAAGCAGATTTTAAATTGCTATCTTTTTCGCTAATTTTTAATTTTGAGCATTACAATTTTCGAGCATATTCGAGACCGCAAAGGAATGATTAATATCTTTGTTATCGGAGAGCTGTTCGGTAGGGCTTGAGATGAGAACAGTTCTTCACAGGTTTGAAGCATCGTTCCGGATGCTCCATCAATAATTCACGTTAGGGATACTGAGAATTACATGTCATCTTATGCTTGTTTTCGTGGGAAAGCAATTATGAGGAGGAAAGTAGCAGTGAATTAAAGCAGTTAGTATGACTGTCGTAATCAACAATCAATGTTGCTAAGAGATAATAATGAGATAATCAAATTCATTGCAATTTTGCAAACTCCTTATGCACTCACATCTCCTTCTCACAATTGATGAAATTATCAACTTTACCGATCACGTAAAAACACATAATCCATTACTTAAGATGTACATTACAAGAAATCAATGCGTTTTCATCGATGATGGTCTCTCGCAAGCGACAACTCAACTTGCCGAGAAACAGATTTCAGTGTTTTTGCCAGTGCCCTCTTTGCTCTTACTTTAACCCTAAACCGAGTAATGGAATCAGTTGTTCAATCTATCCGCTCACGATTGTTTCATACCGCCGAGTTATTTTCATACAAAATAGTGTGGCATTCTCATTTAAATCATACAAGTAATTTCAGATGGCAACAATGCATGCTAAGTACCAGTGTTCCTCCAGTCGTTGATATTTGAAAAAGCTGTTTTATATTCTTTAAAGCAGTGCATAAAATTTAATTCTATTACTTCTTATTTTATTCCTTAGCTTTTCCAAACTTTCTTTTGCTTCCTTCTGATGGTAAATTTGTCAGAACTTGTGCCAAAACAGCTTCCCAGGCACAGGAATATCAGTTGACAAGGTCATCGTATTTCTTCATCATTATCAGCATCCAATTCGTTCTTTCATTCCACTGGAAGCGAAGGGATGATTCATATTGGTAATTTTGAAAGTGGTGTTCTTTTTTAGAGCACTGAACCGACATTCATTATAAGCGATCGCAATCATTTCGAATAGATCATCACGTTCTTTCCAACATTACTGATTACATGTGAAATCACTCAGGATGAACATTTTTCAACGAAAGGATGTTATGCCATCATCCATATCAAAGACAATGTGAATCATGTACTCCTGCAATAGATGAACACCTGAGATGATCAGATTTACTTTTGTGATAACAGTTTCCGTTTGCAGGACGATCGGGAAGTGTTTTCCATAAAAAGGAAAAAGACACGAGACCAAGCCTAGATGCGCGGAAAGAAGACTCTAGCGAGGTACTCGAGACCATTGTCGAACTGCCAACACATCCCTCAAGGGGTTTGCTTTCCTTGTTCTTTCATCATTTTTTAAATCAAAATAGTGCTGAAGTTAATTTTTTATCTTATCTTTTATTCTCACTGTTTCANGATAATAATACACTGCGATTAGCTTTTCTATTCGATTCATCCTACATGTTGCATTAGATATTTTTTACTCGCCTATCATTCTTATTTCTTCAACGTAATGGGTAATATTATAACTCGGGAATCGTGTTCATTCGAAAACACAAGAAACCAATCGATTTTAAGTTTGATTTGTCAGCTTAACGATCTTCGTATTCTTCTTTGAACAACTGCAATACGTTACATGACTGACAGTTCACTGGTGTCCAAGCAGATATTAGTTTGATAAGTTACAGTTTCGATAACAAAACGAAACGATGAACACCGTCGAATTGATTCCCAAAAACAATTACGTACTTCAAAAAAGAAACGATACGGATCCTCACTCGACTTTCCAAGCGCTGTTATCGAGGTGAATCTTACCGATGATTCCTTGTCATTTCATGATCAGTTTTTCTTACTTCCTTTTTTTTAAAAGTCGCTTCGCTAAGCATTAAATTAACCAACTAACTGAACGTAATGATAAAGCTGCATAACCACAACTTTACCAATCACATTCGTCCTCTCATCTAACAACATCTTGCTATCTTCGAGATGCACACAACTTTCTGTCTACTTCAGATTCCTTCTCATGACTCAGAAATTTTTTCATTAATAATTTGAAGCAGTATTACAAGTAGCTCCACTGCACGCATTCCTTTTCATTATCTCCTGATTGAACTGTTTCAATGTCATCATAATCAAAGCACTCATCACATTAACCTCTTGAGCATAAAAATGCGCCTTAATAAACCCTCGTAGAGGATCGGTAACGTGAATGAAGTCATTTATGGTTTAATTTATCAAGATGATGTGCGAAATAAATTCCAGATGGCCAGAAGGGCCAGTTCAACGAAACAAAGCAAAAGAACTGAAACTGGAGTGCGCCAACCGTCAGCAATTGAGGAAGTACCGTCATCCAGTGAGCTGTCATCATCGGTTGTTGCCAGTGAATGTGCTGCGAACGAAGTACGTTTCGAAAGTCCACAACGCAGAAGGTGCGTATCGTTTCTATGAGTATCGCAACTGTACTGGCCACTTAAAGCATTTCTTGTGGTTCTTCGTGAACGCGGAGCATTCTCTCTCTTCTATCAATCAGAATTTGGTGTCATTAACCTATCCGATCAGTTCCTTCCCGTACACTTCTTTCTTCCATTGTCATTTCCTGTCTCTCCAAAAAATCTCCAAAAATTTCGTATCGATGACGAGAAGGTTTGCAAGGGTTATTGTTCACCATGCTCGTCATGAAATGCTATTTGTTTGGATTACGAATCCTACTGAGTGGGAGCTCTTGTAGTTTGAAAATATCCGTGATGATTAAGCATTTCCAAGCTTGAAATGCAGATGAAACTAAAAATTTCTTGACGAATGCCTCGAATTGTTGTGTACTCCCACAGGCTGATGGGTTGTTGATGAAAAGATTGGGTCGGAGACCCCCGAGGGCAGGGTTCGCTTGGTACCTGACCTTGGGGTTCCCGAGGCTTCTAGGGAAGGACCGAGATCATTCGAGACTCGGAGACTCTCGAGCAATTAAGAGGTTTCAACGGTTCGACCCTACTCCTTTCTGCTCTCGGCTGCCCTGGCCTCAGCGGCATCCGAATCCGATTTTGCCCTCGAGCTAACCCTAATTCTGACGATAAACCTTAAATGGTTAGGTTTTTTGCATAGATAGTTGATTGTGTTCGGTTTTGAGTGATTCGAACAATATTTTCAAATTTGAAGCTTGCTATCTCTCATAGATACCAAGGGAATTTATGAGGAAATCAGACAAAACGGGTTGGGCTGTGAAGATGATATCGCACAGACCTTGTGCAGGTCAATTGTAAGCGAGTTAAGATAATTTGTTGATATATACTTTTGAAGGAAACACTTTTGAATGTCTTACAATCAAGAAAAAGGTCTTACGATCGCAAACCAACTGCATCACGAAATGCACTAATAATATCAGTGTCAATGCACTGATGAAAAACTTACAGAGAGCGCTTCGAGAAACTGTGTAAATATTGCGGCAAAACCGAGTGCATAATAGTGATGGTAACTGAACAAAAAATTATTTGGGTTGTAATCCGACGGAATCAATTTCCGCAGTTTGGAACTCCGTTACTTGTCGGAAAATCAAAAACTCCAAACCAGAAATTCAGTTGGCTACCATTTCACTACACACAACTGAATTCTTTCCTACAAAACATTGCACATATCTTCTATGTAGTTGATTGTGAGTGTTTTTGGAAAGCTGCATTACTGTCCAAAATCGGTTG